TCCGTCCCATTTTGTAGCGTGTAGGAGCTAATATTTACTGTCACCACGAAGGCTACAACGAAATCAGCGGTACTCAAAATCCTAACTTCTTTATCAACCGTTATCGGTTGTTATCGCTTTTGATCACCCACTATCCGTGTTCCCGTCCCATCCCCTATACCACATGTGACAGCCAAGGTTCCAATGTCACCGCGAAAGCCGCAACGAAACTGGTAGTATCCACACTTTGACGCCCCTTATCAGTTCTAATCAGTTGCTACCAACCTTCTTCGTCCCTGCCTCCCCAACACTGAGATTCCACCACGGTAGAGCATCTCAGGCATTAAACGCAAAAGGGCGTTCTGCGAATGGCGAGCATTCGATGCCTACTACTCAACCCTCTATCAATTTGCGCTATACTTTCTCTTCGACTCACACTTTGGGTCCCAGCTCCTAATCTACCAGAATATTCATGAAGTGCTAGCAGTACCAACTGCCAAACGCGAAGCGGCCGTACACGGCAAGTCCGGTGCACTTCGACGGCATTCATGACGCAGTTTCAGCTTTATCCGTACTTCATCACTTTGCTGCCACCCTCATCCAGTGTTCACGCCCGACCCCCTATATACCCTAGAAGTTTGAGCGCTCTGGGATCAAACAAGGGAACGAAGTTATGAACATACGGACACACACACCACACACACACACACACACACACACACACACACACACCACACACACACACACACACACACACACACACACACACACACACCACACACACACACACACACACACCACACACACACACACACACACACACACACACACACACACACACACACACACACACACACACACACACACACACCACACACACACACACACACACACACACACACACACACACACACACACACACACACACACACCCACACACACACACACACACACACACACACACACACACACACACACACACACACACACACACACACACACACACACACCACACACACACACCACACACACACCACACACACACACACACACACACACACACACACACCACACACACACACACCACACACACACACACACACACACACACACACACACACACACACACACACACACACACACACACACACACACACACACACACACACACACACACACACACACACACACACACACACACACACACACACACACACACACACACACACACACACACACACACACACACACACACACACACACACACACACACACACACACACACACACACACACACACACACACACACACACACACCACACACACACACACACACACACACACACACACACACACACACACACACACACACACACACACACACACACACACACACACACACACACACACACACACACACACACACACACACACACACACACACACACACACACACACACAACCGCTTAGCCGATTATATATAGTAGGATCTTTATTGCCTCAATAAAATAAATCTTGAATGACAGGAAATGAAACCACATAAGCGAGTCTATCTAGCGATATGGCTGAAAAGAAAATCACAAGAAATTTCGGACAATCTGAGTCTTTCATGGGAACTCGTCTTCTAAGAGGAAGCTTAGAAGTTGCTGTTCGAGTAGATTTATACTAGAAAATATTGTGTGCTAACACTCCACGGATCCATTCGGTGAAGTCCTCTGTAGTGGTCGCAAGGTGGACGTTGTTCGAGGCTGAAATGGTAACACTGAGAAAATCCCTTTTTGAAGATGAGGCTTCTATAGCGAGCTCAACCAATGGAATTCCTGTGTGTGGAGTTCTTTAGATGAATTACGGACGAGACTTCAATGGAGAGAAATGAGATGCAGAGAGCAAAGCACCACAGTGGGGCTGCTTGGTGTCACACCTCTTACACCAATTTTTAAGTCAAAGTCTTTTTGTAAGGGTTACTGACGGTCCTAATCATGAATATGGTACTAATTATTCATGCTAACTCCATTTTGCGCGAATTTTGGAAACGTCAACTCGAAATGCAAAAATTTGTCACCACGAGGAATCGAACTAGGGACCCCCTTTTCTGGTATTCAGAGGGCCGTTCAGGAAAAATTAACCATGGTTCTGTGGTTCCCGCGTGCCCCTATATCATGCAAAAGACCGTTTTCAAAAAGCTTGGCACGCCCTGAAAGACCTTCCTGGTTAGCACCCTTGCCACTCATCTTGAGTCGTCACAGCGGCACTCCATGGGAGGATGCGGACACAGCTACTTCGCTCGCGGTATAGATTGTTTCGACGAAACCAACATTGGAATGTTTCTCTAGATTTAGAGAGCGGCATCAAAGAACAATTCCAGGAAATCACTGAGGTCATGCAAGAGGTCTGGACGGCGAAGCTTTGACAGGCGGAAAGGAGGCCGGATTGTGAATTATAGCGATTTGCTAGAATTCCTGCTTAATTGCCTATCGCACAGCGGAAAAGGAATATGCATCCATGGATACGCTCAAAGCTTCTTGCCATACTGATGACTTCTTCGCGGTATTTCTGGCCACGAGAGTAGAATGCCTTCAAGACACACCTGTTCTTCCCAACATTCTCCTCTATACAACTTCCCGATCACCATTCTTGCTGTAAGTATCACCCTGCCCTCTCCCTCCCTCAACCCACCTTACCGATCGGTACCCATACAAACCACAGCGCCCCTACTCAGGCCACGAATTCCACGAAAACAAAGACACAAGCTTGGTAGAAAAGAATAGTTTTGGTCCCATTTTAAGTGAAATTTACTACACAGCCAATGCTCTTCCTACTGGACACAACTGCTGCAAGCACTGAATTATTTTTCTGTTGGTGAGCGAGGCGCGAATACCGCGTAACTGCGTTTTGGCGCATGGGTTATGGTTTCATCGTAAGAATGAAAGCGTTGGCAGAAAGTCCCAAATTCTGCGGCTATATCCATTTCAGTGCCGCTATTTCAGCGCTTATCCACTGTAATGTGGATTAGTTGTGAATCACAGCTGGATTTGCCATTAACCAAGCATTTGCCATAACCATGCCAAACTGCGATGTGTAAGGGCCATGCTGATCGATGGTTACCTGTCGGTCCACACCATCCAATACCATGAACCCTTTTTTCTGCTGTACCGTAGAGTACTCGATTGACTTCGATGAACCTTCCCTGGGCTTTTCTTTCTCCAGGACATCCTACACGCTTTCGTGAAATGTGTCAGGTTCATTATTTCTAGC